TAGGGTTTAGGGTTTGGTTTAGGGTCCCGCCCTCGAGCATGCAAGGATCCTGGGGGTCAAAGCAGACTGATAGTAGTATCGAAAATACACGTGGGAGCGGGCTTTCAAGACTTTGCGTCTGCGTGATTGACGCTTGTGTCTGTCAGGATCCTACACTAAAGTTCAACATGGGTTTTAGACATGTGCATATAGATTTTCGGGTTTCACGGCGGCGCAGCAAAGTAAGAGCAGCGAAGCCTCTGTGAATGCTTACTGTTATACTATGTTATAGACGAGCTTTGTGCATAAGAGTCGAAACGTCTGCTGGCGCCACACGTATAAGCGACTGCCGTAACTTCACCAACTTTCCCCTGAGCACGCAATGCGNNCCCCCCCCCCCCCCGGCCCGAAACTTATGTGTTTTATAAAGCCCATCACCAAACCCGCAATCCTCAATCCTGCACCCTCGTTTCAGCCCTGACAGTCGCCTACCCGCTGAAGCCGATCCTAGAGTCAGTGTTTAGGGTTATAAGGGTTTAGGGTGAGACATGAACTCAGGTCTTTGTTGCAGACAGCGAAGGAGACTCTTCGAAGCGATCTCGCTTGAAGGTGTTGCGGGAGGGCTTAAAGTCTGCTTTGAGGTTGAGGTCAGGGGCTTAAGGTATGGGCTCGATTTTTGTCTTTAGGGCTTGAGGGATTTCGGTCTTAGACCTCGGGCCTTAAGATGAAGGCGTTATCAGCCCCACCATCACGAAAGCCGCACCCGTCGAGCACAGACACTGCGGTCGACACCGAGCGGTAGATCAACGCCCCCAAGCCACGCTTCGTTGAGGGAAAACGAAGCGAGGTACGGAGTAGTAGCAGTAGTTCGTAGTAGTACTAGCATAAGTTGGAAAGCATCCGTTTGTTGTATCTGCAGTTTCCAGGCTTGTGTCCGAGTATAGGGTTCAGCATTCATGTTTTAGTGATCAGGCATGGGGTTGGTTGGGAATGCAAGAGCGTAGCATAAGCTTTGAACCCCAGACTCTACGAACACAAGCCTTGAGCAAGGACAGCCCAAACCCCAAATCGGAAACCCAAAAGCCCAAAAAATAGAGCCTAAAAGCCCAAAGCCTTGAGCCCGTTAGCCAAAACAAGACCCCAACCCTAAACCCTAAACCCCTAAACAGCAATAAGGAAGCACCTTCAACTGGATATCGTCTCCTACACCTGCACCATCAATGCCCTGAGGCCTGTGCACGAAGACTGACCCTTCTGCATGAATCCGGATGTCGGGCGTAAGGATTCGTTCTATCCTTTCTTAGGCATCCTTAGTAGCATATTTATGTATATGAATATATATATATATATGTATCCCAAAACCTTTATTGAACATCATGCCCTGCACTCACCAGATCTTAAAGTGCCCGTGCATTAGGCAGCGAGAGCTTAGACAGGTTTGGTGTGTGTGTGTGTGTCTCTGTGTCTCTGTGTCTCTCTGTGTGTGTGTGTGTGTGTCTCTGTGTCTCTCTCTGTGTGTGTGTCTCTCTCTCTCTCTCTCTCACTCGCTCTCTCGCTCTGTCTCTCTCTGTGTCTGTGTCTGTGTGTGTGTGTGTGCGCGTGCATCTGTGTGTTTCGCCGGGGATGATGTAGGGCGAGTGCACATTATGTTGCCGGTTGTATAGAGACACCAAGCGCGTACTTTGTTCGAGCTGCTGGCTTGAATCCTAGCGTCAAGGCACTGAAATCGAAATCCCACTTCACGAGCATGAAAAGCACCTGAAACCCCGTAGTGAAGGCGAGAAGCCTTCAATGTAAACCCGACTACTCCAAAGAGAAACGCTCACTGCCGCAAGGCCATACTTGGGGGAAGCACCAACGGCATGACTTTCGTTTCTCTGCATGTAGATGAGGGAAGCACCCAAGGCATGGCATAGGCATGACTGTAACGGACGCCTGTAGCTATGTTCTTCGAAGTCACCTTACCCCCCTAAACCGTAAGAGCTTACTCCCTTCAAACCCTCCAACGCCAGAGCTCGCTTCTTTGAAGCCTTCGCCACAAAAAGCTGTTTCAGGGCTACTGCCGCATGGCAGCTGGCCTTGTCTCTCTTGGATGAGGCTTCTGCATGTCGGCTCCAACAAAATCTGAAACTTGTCTCGGTTGGGGGGGCGGGGGTTGTTGGGGTATTTCTGGTGCTCAGGGCATCTTGCAATTGAGGATATCCTTGTTCTGGTTCGGCTCAGGGCTTTTCAGTCTTGGGGAGTTTGGATTTAAGGGTTGAGTGTTGAGTCCATTTAGACTTTTTGTACCCTTTTTTCATTTCGGTGGTTTCCAACAACATTGAGTACTACGGAGCAGACTACCCTTTACTAACAGGAGGTTACTGGCAAACCGAGCCGAAAGGAGTCTGTAGGGTTTAAGGTTTATGGTTTGTTTTTCTTCCTTGATTTTAATTGTGGAGGGACTGAGGTGTCGGCTTTGCTTTAGAGCAAACACAGTACCCGAAGATAAACTGCTGCGCCTTACTGTGTTGGCTTACTTGAAGAAGGGCTTATGGATATCAACCGTATGTTTTTTTTGTTTCCGTCCCTAAACCCTAAACCCCTAAACCCTAAAACTTAAACCCTGATGAGCTGCCTGAGCCTGAGGATTGCATTCAGCTGCGCCCTTGGTACCTGCCAGCGGGCTTCAGAGTGGATCGCTGCTCTCCATCTTCTCCAGCGGGTAGACGAGGACGGGGCAGAAGGCATTTAGTTTGGAAGGGTGTAGTGTTACCCTAAGGGTCCGAAGGACCTAATAATCCTGTACTTGGGTTACGGATGATAGTTTTGTAGATTAGTTTTCAGAAGAGTATATGATTATTGGGTACTTGGACCCTTAGGGTTAACCCTAAACCCTAAAGGGTTTAGTGCATCATCCTGACCATTATCTGGGCCTACCTCTCTACCTGTATGGGGGGTATACTTTGCAGAAGTCATACTTATTGGTGATTCCTGAGTTTCTCGACCCTGTCTTATGTACGCAATAGTGGGACCCGATGGGTAACGGAATGGTAGAGTTTTGACTTCATGAGGTCCTGCACAAAGGAAAAGGATTGGTAAGCGGCGCAGACAGTTACGGATTAACGATGCTAAACACATATTGTGCGTCCAGCCTACCCCAAAACCAAACACGAGCTCATCTACATGGGTTACGAAAGATCAGCATTGCTGCTTATTCACGTTAGGAGACCATACGAAATCAATACCCACTACCAGAAGGCTCACTTGCTGAAATGTCTTTCGAAGTCAAGCCTTTAACGGCCCCAAACAAGGAGATGGGAGTTTCCGAGAATAGGAACTCCCCGATGGCACGCAGGAGAAGTTGGAGAACGATGTTGTGATCCAAAGCGCGGCGAAGCTTTGCCCAGCTTTGGTCTGGACTTCGGAGTAAATGAATTGCGAAAGCAATAACAGCAACAAGCCAAGACGTCACATCACACACACACACACCCCGAATCAACTCCAGATGAGCCACTTTAAGTTGTTTTTTCGTGGGGATGGTTGATTGCACAACTTCCCGGCAACAACAGCAGACCATCCGTTTCGCTTCGGTAGTCTTGGACAATGATACCCGCACCCAGGGAGGTGCAGGCGTAGCTGTTGGGTAGAAGACGCAGAAGGGTCCACGAGACTCCCGTGGTCCGGATCAGCACATGTAGCGATATTCGCTGGGATGCGCCGCCCTCTGACAGCTGTTGAGGAAGCCCTTGAAAGAGCTCCATAGAAGCCTGAAGCGAACCTCCGAAAAAGCACTTCACTGAAAGCATCAGGGCCACTGTAGTGTTTGAGTTTTGAGGAGCAGGAAGGCTCAAAAGTATTCTGGTCGGCAGGGAGTGTTTTTGGGGCTTTCGGGGGTTTAGGGTTTCGGGTTAGGGCTTAGGGGGTTGCTGTAAAGGGGTTGTTCGGGGCTTGCTGCGGATTATGGAGTTTATGTATTACTCTTTGGGGGTCAAGGGTCATCGTTAAGCCATGTTCCCTCTTGGATCGACCCCAGGCCCTACCCAAAGCACCTGAAACTCAATCTTGCAAAAGCCCTGCAGCAGAAGACCCACAGAATCCTAAGAGCCTAAGCCTCAAAACCCCAGAGCCCTAAACCCTACAACCCTACAACCCTTAACCCTATAAACCCGAAACTCCCTCAACCCTAAAGCCCTGAAGCCCTAAATGCCCGGAGCAGCCCCAACCCTTAAAAAAACTGAGCACTGAAGGATGTCTGCCTGCGCCGAAGCCTCGGCTTGGTCATCAGCTCTGACACTCTGCTCTGCAGTTACGAATATAGGTTTAGGGCTTTAGGGCTTTAGGGTTTTAGGGTTTTAGGGTTTTAGGGTTTTAGGGTTTTAGGGCTTTAGGGTTTTAGGGTTTTAGGGTTTTAGGGTTTAGGTTTAGGGTTTAGGGTGAGGCGGCCTCAGTTACTACCTGGACCCTTAAGAACCTCCCTTTTTAGGGCTCCTTATTCTGATTTCCTTGTATAGGTCCTTAAAAAGGTAGGTTCTTTGGGGTCTCGCTAATATAGGGGCTATATACATGTTGCGAGTTTGGGTTTCATGTAGACCCCGATAAATTGAGACAGCGACGCTCACTTTCAGGCAGCATGGCATTGATTATGGTGGAGATCCTAATACTAATGAAGGCCCTTCAAGAAGGATGGGTTCGTTAAAGATGGGGTGTAGGTTTGGCATACCAAAAATGCCCACTGGGCCTTGGAACAAGACAAGCCCCGCCAAGAGCCTCAACCGCCCTCCCCTTCAATCCTCCAACCCAAAGCCCTACTGTTGATGATATAAATCCTACATTACCTTAAGGACCCTAACCCATGGGAATTATGGTACATTCCTTATTATAATTATGCGTAATGCAGCATTGATACCATCAACCGTATCAACCCTAAACCTGACTACGGAGCCCATATGTACCCTGAGCCCCAAAACTCAGGTTCATCTTCGGCTCCCTGCGCTGTCGCCCCAGAGACATGGACTCGGTGATGTTGGGCACCGCTATCCGTGTCTGCAGCAAGGTCGGAAGCCTTTGACTCAACAGGGTCCTTCTAGGGGTGCTCTAAGACTGTCTTAGGTTTTATTACTTGCTATGTGAAGCGTATATTTGGTACCATTATGGCCTCATTGCTTCGGCTCAGTTTAGGATCCAGGGTTTGTCGGAGTTTCGGGATTGAAGCATTTAGGTGTTTAGGGTTCGGGGTTTAGGGATTTAGGAGTTTCCGGTCTGGCAGTGGATGGGTCGTGCGTAATCCAGATGTGGAGGCCAAGAAACGTCAGAAAGTGTCATGACCGCAAGAGACGCAAGACTGCAGAATTGCATGGACCCAGACAGATATACTCAAAACTCTAGCTAAACACCAAACCCGAGCCTTCGATCGCACGGCAGGCCTTTCTGTGGCAAGGCGCATGGGCCCTGCTGTTTGAGGCACCCGCCAAAGTGGTGCATTGTTGGGTTAAGAGAGTGTGTCCATGGCTAGTTTGCACGTTGCTGCGCAGACCGGGAGTTCTACTATAGCTTAAACCAAGGAAAGGGCTTTGGGCTGAGGGCTGTCTTTCAATGCCCTCGTTTGTCTCAAGAGCCCCGCGGACATGTCATGGCCACTTAGGCCTCATGGGCTTTTCGGTTTCAGGTCTATCCTAGCAAACTGGTGTCCCTGCAAGGATTGAGGAGAAGGCTGAAGTAGTCAGCGATCCAAAGAGATGTATTCGAGTCGGGAGTCCAACTTCACCGTGACTGACACGAACGCCATAAGACTCTGGAGAGGATGTCTTCCAATATCAGCTCAAGCTCCTCCTTTACACCTCTACATTCCCCTTGTTTAGCAAGAAAGCTTGGGTAAGATTCCGTACGGAGGATGAACAGGCCAGAAAACAAGACGGCAAGCAGGCCACGATTACCAGTAGTGCATCAACAACTACATGTTACTCCCAACCACATCGCTCTACATAGTCCCTTGATCCTTGCTGCATTGTGCCGTCGAGATCACGGCATGGAGTTGAGGTTTCAACAGCTTCCTTTGAGTTTGCCAGCTTCCTGTCCCAGGGGCTTTGCGAGCTGCACAGCCAGGGCCTGGAAGGGAGGAGTTGGGTTGATTCGCTCGAGATATAGCGCGAAGCCTCGCCTCTAAACTCTGATCACCCGTGAGAGCACTCACTACCCCTAAGCCCTAAACCCAAACCCCTAAACCCTAAAACTCTGAACCCGGAGCCCTAGAACCGAAGGCCCTCCACCGCTGCTCCAGGCACAGGCGGCGACAACCAGAGCGAGCTTGCCCCTCGCCAGTTTTTGCATCTCAAGCCGGCCCACGGTAGGGTTGATTATCGACAAGGGCAGGGGGTTTAGGGTCTAGGGTTTAGGGTTTAGGCGGGGTTAGTTAGGGTTTAGCCAAGTATAGGGTTTAGGACTTAGGGTTTTGGGTCCAGGGGTTGAAAAGCTTAACATCCTCTCGGGAAGATGGCTCTAGCTAGGCCTACTAAATCCAGAATGCTACTTCGTCTGAGCCACAATACTTATCCTCTAGGGTGCCTGGCGTAGTGCAGGTTCTGCCCATCAAATGTTTAAAAAATAACAGAGGCAAAGTTGAATGGACACCAAGCCCTAAACCTCCAAACCTGGCAACGCGCAAAGCAACAACACACGATCCAACCAAGACTTGCATAAAGCCTTCCAAGCCCTTGAAGCCCAACAGAGACCTTTAAAACAATTGTTCCCAACGCATCTCCACGAGGATTGCTTTCAACTCCGCCCTCGATGCCTGTGAGAAAGCGGCTCAGTGGCAGCAGGCATCTTGGATGAACTTGACTTCGAGGCTTGATTTTTTTGGGGGGGGGTTTCAGAGCCTCAACCCAAAACCCTAAGTCCTGAGCCCTAAAACCCGGCAGTCAGGTTTGGGGCTTTCGGCTGTGGAGGTTCCAAGCTCGGGGGTCTTCTAATTGCCCAGAGAACCCAATACCCCTTAATTAAGGAATATGCCTTAAATTATAGGGGCCTTACAATATTATGATTTAAGGGTATATTCCTTAATTAAGGGGTATTGGGTTCTCTAGTTGATCGGGCATTGGAGACCTGAAGTGCAGCGCAAGGGCCCTCGAAGCCGTGAAGCTTGGGGTTTGGAGGGGTGCAAGCCTCCATCGCGAAGTGAAGGCAAGATCCCAAAGCCTGAAACCCAGACGCCCCCTCGCTTTGCATGGCCATGGAGATACCAGAGGCAATATTATAGGGGCCTTAGTGATGATTACTTACATATCCTAATTTTGGGGGGTTCCTTACTATAATTACATGCATAATATACGCCCCTACATTACGCCTTAACCGCAGGGCTGGACGGGGCTGGGTCAGGGGTAGGACCAGGTAAGATCAACGCGCGCTTGCGTCCTTTCTCAGGCCCAGCATCTTCAAACAAAGCCCTCAGACCCTAAAACTCTAAACCCTAAAGAACGCGAAAGTCTCAGAACCCAACACCCCAAGACACATCCCCCAAATACCCTAAATCCACAAGTTTTTGAATCGCCAAACCCATGAGCCTCCCAACAAAAGAAGCGAAACCCAAAAACCCCAACCCTAAAACCCTACAGCCGTAGGGTTTAGGGTTTAGGGTTTAGGGCATCTATGTGCGCAAAACGGCCGAGCCCCGACACCACCACGACCAGGCTCTGCAGCTTCTCGGGGAAATGAAGCGATTGCGTGTTGATCCGGACGTCGTCTCGCAGAATTCGGTGATCTCGTCGATGGCAACTGGACTTCTTGGCGTCGGGTAGCATTGGGTAGACATGTATATAGAAGCTTTACGGAGAAACGCTAAGACTAGTTAATGCTTTACTTGATTATAGGCTGATTATCGGCTATTTATAGGCTCATTATAGGTTTATTATAGCCTTAGTATAGGTTTATTATAGGCTGAATATATTCTGTTGCAGTGCTTGAAATTTCCCTGAGGTTGGGGTATTCGGGCTCGGAACTCGGAATGTGTCGGGAGTCCCAATGCGTGTTCCTGCAATGGGTGCACTAAGCATCAGGTAAAACTGCAGGAACGCATAGAAGCTGCTGAAGGAATTTGGCGAGGGACTGCTCTCATGGCTTTGGGTCTAGGGGTTTCAGGCGTGTCGGGCTTACAGGGCTTAGTATGGACTCCTGCATGTCTCAAGCCTTAGGCTTGGGGGGGTGTAGGGGTGTAGAGGCCCGGCTGTTCTGCAGAAATGCCTCAGGCATTGGAGTGGGAGCAGGCTATGTGCCTGTTCCGTGGGGTCCAATGCCCAGATGCCATCACATACGCCACAGCCATCAGTGCTTGCGCTGCTGCTTCGCAGTGGCAGGTCGCATGTTCCTTGCTGCTTGGCGGCTTAAGCTTGCTGACTGAGTGGTGTTGAGCTCAAGATTAAAGAAGGGTTTACAGGCAGGTGGGGGTACGGCTTGGGTGTTCAAGCTTTCCGATTGAATGTGTCATGGTAAGAAGGATTTCCTGGTGGTTGAAAAGATCTTCCGATTGCTCATGCTAATTACGATGAAACGGGTTCAGGAGATCGGGTCCCCCCACCAAATTCGAAACCCCAAATCCCGAACGCAATCGAGAGGCTTTCATTTACAGAGGCGCCTGCGGGAAGCCTGAAAGCCAGACTTTGTCCTGCAGGGACAGAAACCCCAGGTAGCAGTCCGGAGACCCGTTAAAGGGGACCCTTCTCCACCCTACTTCTGGCTCACGTAATAAGGGACCTTAGGAAGAGGGTCTATATGCCCCAAGGGTCCCCCGTTTCCTAAGTCCTATAGACAAAAAGGGCGTGTCGTAGCCACCAGCTAGGATCAAACCCTAAACCTGCCCTCACCACACTAAGACTCTTAGCCCTGAGCCCTTGAACCAGGAACGTTCTGGAGGGCTCTACCCATAGGCTCCATAGTAGTTCCTTTTTGTGGTTTGTATTTAGGATCCTATAAGCCAAAGCCCTACACCCTACAGTGAGCTAGCGAAGCTTTCACGACCCAGGCCCTACCTGGAGAGACACGACAACAGTGAGGTCAACATCCAAAACATGTCCAAGGATAAAGTCGTAGTACCAGTAATTATAGTTCGAGAAAACCAATAAGTTCGTATTAAACACGGTGTTCACTCTGTGTCCAGGCTTCGAGCATCAACTCTCCACCACCCGAGCCTTGTGGCCTACAACGCTGCCGCCAGCGCTTGCGCGAATGGGGGCGCCTGGCAGCAGACGCTTCGAGTACTCCGCCTTGCCCAAGAGGAAGGTGGGAGTCGAGGGTCGGGGATGTAGGGAAATTGGGGCCTTTGTGGGATTTAGGATTTTGGGCCTTTGGGATTTAGGGAATTGGGGCCCCGTGTAGGGAAGTGGGGCCTTTGGGATTTAGGATTTAGGGCCAGGTCTCTTGGATCTTCGTCGTGTTTCACGGCTGTTGGGGTTCAGGGTGGGGCTCTTGGGTATTTTGGGGTTTGGGGGTTTGGCCTTGAAACCTGTGCGAAACGATCGCTTCAAGCAACAGCTCAGCACCTATGACCAGCACCCTGAACGACGGTCCCTGGGGCAAGAGAAGCTTTTGAACACATCTCGAGGATCAAGGTGGCGATGGATGGTTTAGGAGTCACTTGCTTTTGTGGGAAGAAGTTGATTGAGCCCGTTCACCCTCACAGTTTATTGAAGGAATACCGCAATCAACCCCAAGCCCGTAACGTCATCGAGTCATTCAAAAACCGTTGAAGCTATCACATCTCGTTGTTGCCCCCCAAATCCCTACGTCCTAAACAATCCTTTCCCAGCCGCTACATCTTCAAAGCCCTTAATTACCAGTAAACGCTCTTGGCTTCATAGGTATCCCGCAACCCTAAACCCCTAAACCCTAAACCTCTAAACCATAGACTTCGATGGGGAGTTTATGTAGCGTTTCGGGACCCTAGCTCGAACCCCAACCTGCCAAGCCGGAAAGCCTAAAACCTAGGACCCTAAACTATGGGAATTATGGTAGAATCCTTATTATAGGTAGTGCAGGAGTTATATCATCAACCGTAGTAAGTGCCTTTAGGCCTCGGGTTATCTAGAATCTAGAAGGCTCTAAGGGCAAAGCACCGACTTTCTGCAGCCTGTCTTTCAACTTTTCTGCCGACCTAAAACTATCCTTTAGGGTCCGGGGTGCAGGGTTTAGGGTTTGGTGCTGTAGGGTTTGATTCGGGCTTCGGGTTTTGCAAGACATGGCATGGCCTAGAATCAAATAAGCCTTCCCCCGGTCTTACAGAAAATCAGCGGAACCTGCCGCAGGTGGACAGTAATAAGTGATAGTGGAATTAAAATATATCCCCTGATGGTCCCTGTTAATTAATAAGGGTTTAGGGTTTAGGCTATAATAAGTATAGCTGAATTATGGAGCATTGTTTATATTGTACTCCAAAGCCCCGTTCCAACAACCCGGCCCTTGGCATTTGCAGGTCTGGAGCTGGATGCCGTGTCCTTCAGTGCGGCAATGAGACTGGACTAAACTCATTCTGGTCTTTAGGGTTTAGGGTTTAGGATCCTAATTAAGCCCTAAACCCTAAGGGTTTATATAGGGTTTAGGGTTTAGGATCCTTGAAATGGGGGGTCCTTTCAAGGATCCTTCTGGGTGTTAGGGTTTAGCGGTTTAGGGTCTGCTTTCTGCACCGTTTGCTCTTTATAGGTTTAGGGTTTAGGGTTTAGGGTATAATCCCTGTCGCCTTCGTCAGTCTTGGAGTTGTGGTCGGTTTTTGATTCGACCCCGGCCCCTCCTGAGAGTTGGTTCTCTTCTTGCTGGCAGGGATTTCTGCAGAATGCTCGTGGAGATCATCCCGACTCAAAACTTTCCTTTTTTAGCTTAAGCCCCGATCAGAAACAACGAACCTTAAATCCTAAACCTGGGCCTCAACACGCTCAATCTGTAACCCCTACACCAAATCCAACTCCTCACAGCTTACACCTTCAATTTCGATTTTCAATTCATCAGGCCTTTTTCCCACAGCCGGAAGCTCTGCAAGCCCAAGCTGTAAACCCCAACCCCACGACCCATACCTTAAACTACCAAAACCTACCTTTTTTGTAGGGCCCCTATGAATTCCACATTAGGGTTTATATTAAGAAACAAAAAAGTAGGGTTTGGTAGTTTAAGGTACTCCTTAAACCCAAAGATCCACGTAGCACCATCCTGATGCACCTGCTTCTCAAGCTGCGCTCATGTAGTAGGAGGTCGCAGGACATTTTTTGCCCACCTGTCCGAACCTTCAACCCGAAACCTCCCAGAACCTGGAACTTCCAAACCCTGAATCTAGGACATTTTCAGGTGGGTAGTTACCCTTATAGGAGCCTTATAGAAGGTCCATATACCTTAGAGAAGCCTTATAGAAGCCCTAGATACCCTAAACTCCCCACCTGTAGTAGTTTCCTTTTAGCTGAAAGCCCTAAAAGCCTCGAAGGAGTCAGCTCTATCTCTGCCCCAGGAGAAGCTGCAGTCGGTCCTCGGAATGGCAAAAAGCTTGGCTGCTCTCCCAGGACTGCTGGAGACTTTGGAATGGTTCATGGGGCTACGTGTGTGTGTATATATATATATATAACCTAGGAACCCTTATAAACCCCAAACCCTAAGCCCATTTCGGGTATCAGTTTTTTTGGTTCAGGGCGCTTGAATGGTTTCGATTTTCGGGCTCTGAGAGGGGCCTGTGGGCTTTTGGTTGCTAACTGAAGAGAACTCCGAGGTGAGAACCCCTAAACCACAACCGTAAACCCTAAGCCGTGACTGAGCCAGGACCTCTTCGAACAGACCCTGGAGCTGGATACCATCACATACAGCACCATCATCGAGACTTGCGAGGTCCTTCGACGGGGACTTCCAACATACTTTTCATATGCGTTTATAAGGACTTGAAGGCTTGTTTCGTGTAGTAGTCCTGCCATGCTTTTCCCGATGTGCTCATGCTTCCGAATCATAGATTTGGATGCTCTGGTGTGCAAAGTCGAGTATTGAGAGCTTCGTGCGGCAACGCCTCGACAATGATCGTTGATCGGGCGAAGCAAGTGAGCTTAGGGGGCTTATGGTGTTGAACTTCAGGACCCTCTGGTTAAGCACTCTTGGGGTTTAGGGTTTAGGGTTTAGAGGCTTGTGCAGTTCTACGCATAAGGTTTGTCTCGCTTTTCAGCATGTGCCGTTAAGAATGGCATGGCAGATAGGCTCAACCAGTCGTGGTTGTCCCAGGTCCGGAAGCATTTGAAACCGGTGCATTGCGGTTTCCCACTCAGTCCGAAACCAAGCACCAAACCCCAAGTAGACTTGGGAGAAAAGGACTTCAACACAAAAAGAACTAGGTACCATAACGGCCTTTATATTTATGGTATAACATACCACCAAAAGCCCTATCCTAATTGCTTAAGGCCCCTTATGGAAGACTAAGCCCTCAGCCCAAGTACGTCGACGACCAGGCTGCTGCGAAGTGGCAAGCCGCTTTGCAGCTCCTTCAGCACGCCCTAAGGACCAGCGTAAGGGCCGATCCAATCATGTGCCTGGGACGTCTTTGAGGTTTAGGGGTTTAGGGGTTTAGGGTTTAGGGGTTTAGGGTTTCGGGGAGGAGTCCTGGTTTTGGGGAGGAGTGTGGCTCTAGCCCCACATCATCGCTTTGCAGTTCAGAACTGTGGCAGTGGGCGACGAAATTTAAAAGCCCCTGAAGCATAGACTCTGGCATAGACCTCACGTGCCGCTTTCGAGTCCGTCCAAAGCACCTAATGAGATCGTAGGCATTGGTTCTCAAATCAAGTTCCAACACCTTTTTTTCGGGTTTCGTAGTCTTCTCTGCAGCACGGCAGGGATGTTTGTTGTGAGATGCTTTTGGTGAATCAGCTTCTTGTGTGCTGCCTTTGGCTTCTTGCTTGTATGTCGTGCTCGGGTTCAGGGTTTCGAATTAGGTCTTCAGAGAAGTTCTTGCTGAGAGAGTTTCGGGTTTGAGTTGGAGCTTCCAGGGTGCAGGGGCTTGCAGTGCAGCTGGAAGTTTGCCTGTTCGAACTTGTATGTCTGGCACGACAATGCTTAGGTTTTGCTGGTATCAATGCAGCATCGGATTCTGCTGTCCGCTTAGGTTCCATATAACCCAGAAGTAACAGTCATGGTCGTATCACAATACGATGAGTTCAGGCCTTAAGCCTTAAGCCCCAGACCGCTACCAGCTAAACACACTGCTTTGATTCTTTGGCCGCGGTTTAGGGCTGAGCGTTGAGGGTTTGGGTCTAGGGTGTAGGGTTTGGGCGAAGGGTGTAGCGCTTAGGTCCCGCCCCCCACCCCTGAAACAGGTATGGCTCCGCGATGAGGGTCTGTCAAGCCGCTGCACAGTGGCTCGTTCGCATGAGTGGCTGGGGCCAAGTTGGGGACCCTTACCCTAATCGCGCGACCCACGATGCAAGCACTTAAACCGTATGCAACAAATTAGGTTCATAAACCCCAAACCCTAAACCTTAAGCCCCGTAGTTTATGGAGCTGAAGCTTGCAATCGCATACAACTCCGAAGCCTAGTCCCGACCCCCGCGTCTCCAGAGCCCTGCTGTAACATGTAACCCTCAACACCACATCCTTAGACCCAGATCAACCTAGGGTTTAGGGTTTAGGGAGTTTATTAGGGTTTAGGGATGTTTAGGGTTTCGGGTTCAGGGTCTCGCAGCCTCCATGCCAGCCTATAGACCATACCCCATGTACACCCTCAACCCTGGCTGAGGGCATGAAGTGACGTCTCCATCCTCTCCTTTTCTAGGATTCTGAGGCAAACCCTTACCGAGCCTTTTGATACCGAAAGCCTACACTAAAACCAGGGAGCAACCGTGTAGTAAAGATGGATCTGAGGTGGGAGGAGGCCCTGGGCCTCTTGCAAGTGCCAGAGCAGCCGACAGAGGCAGAATGCTGTCTAGGGGTTTAGGGGTCTTAGGGGTTTNNTTAGGGGTTTAGGGTTTTAGAGGTTGAGGAGGGCCGTAGAATTTTGAGTTTAGGGTTTTTAGATAGGGTTGACGGAGTTCAATTCCGTGAACTAGCCGTTTTCAACCGTCGCACGAAACGCTGAAACCCCAACACCGAGAATCCGAAGCCCCGGACTCTCAAAACCTGATATAAACCCTGAAACCCTAAACCCT